TTCTTGAATGTTTTAATAAAAGTCATCAAGCACTTCAAAGATTTAAGCAAGTGTCTGCATCCTTAATGCTCTGCCATTTGAATCTGGTCCTGACACTACATACAGCTATGACATTAAAATGTTCTTCACAACGTGGTTCTTTTAAAGCAACCCTAAAGTAAAAAAAATGACTGTAACCTGGCAATTTACCCATTACACTGCTATGTAAAGAAAGCTGTTAAATTCAAAAATATTTAACTAAGTATAGAGTTGAGTTTCCCTGGATTCTGACTGGCTTTTGTCTCAACTTCTGCAGATGTTCGTGAGGTTCAGTCAATGACTGGCTACTTTTGCATAAGCAGCTAATCAGTATCTTTGCCTCACTAGGAGTGATGGCGAAGCTTAGAAACCAAAAAAAAAGAAACTTAACAATGAAAAGAAATTACACCAAAAAAAAGTAAGCATCAATGTAAACAAATCAAGCAAGCTGAATATTTTTCAACAATCAAAAAGTTCAAGTGGGAGATAAATAAAATTAGCCTTCCAAGTGAATATGAGTGGTTATCATATAAAAAATTTAAAGGTTGGCATGCATTTATGTATCAGTGTTATAATGATATTATAATATGATAATATTTAACTGGGAACTACATTAACACATTTTTGTAGGCGTTTTACAAAATAATTTTAAAAAGTCAAAATTTAAACAGCTTGAAAAGCATTAACATTTTTTGTACAGCATTAGAGAATAAAATGGAGCATGCTTAAAAGCATTTTGAATAAGTAATGTTGCGCGCTGTAACAGGCAAATGCAGAAAGAGAAGCTAAATGGCTTAGGAACCATATTCTAAAATACTCTCTAAATGGTTTTCTATCATGTCAAATTTTCCAAAATATTAAAAACATAGAATACTGAGCCTCATATTCCAAGCTACAGTCTGCGGATCTCAACATAAGTTTTTTTTCCCTGTTTTATTATAGCAAACAGAGTAAAATTCTGTCAACCTTATCTAAGTATAAGATTTCTCATCAGGGCACTCTCTGCAAAGAGTTTTCTGTTATTTTTGCTCTCAGAGAGCTTAAAAGCGGACCTTTTAACCCAGATATAACTTGGAACATTTTAATAAAGCTCTATACACGTATTCATAAACATGCTTTCTTTTTTTATCCTTACATTCTCACAAAGCAGCACTTCAAATTCTTCTTTAACATATACTGTATTCATGCACTAGTGACATAGCCAGTGACATAGCCAATGCCCCCCAGATGCCTCCAGGGAAAACTACGTCATCTGTGTCTTCCATGGAGCTCTAGTAAGCTAAAAAACTGCAAAAACTCACAAGAGGCAGCATCTCCATCTCTTTGGAATTATGCACCTTACATGTTCTTGTATATTATTATTATTATATTATACAGGATTTATATAGTGCCAAACAGCTTTCTCAGCACTTTACAATATAACGGGACTCAATACAGCAACAATACAGTTCAATACAAGAGGGATTTGAGGGCCCTCTGCTCCTTGGAGCTTACAATCTAGGAGTGTAGTTTGTGATTCTTAATATATCTATCATGGCTTCAGCAACAAAAATGTTAGGTAGTGTAATGACACTTGTGTTGATAAAACTATGGCAATTGTCAAACAAAACACACCATATCCCATAAATTTGCTTGCATGGATCTGGTGTGGATACCAGTGCAGCGACCCAGAGAGTGAGGTACAAGAAGCCAGCCTCCGATACCGTCAAAACTTAAAATGACTGCAAGGGGTTTTCAGTTTTGAATGAAAAAAGCCAGGGGATACATACATGAAGAGGCAAATTATACATGAATGAGGCAAGAAATCATCTATGTCGTTATGTATTTCAGAGAGCAACTTTATGGATACTGGTAGTTGATAAAAAAAATGTGGGATGAGGTGCACTTTATTTATTGTGATTGGTGATATTATTGAGTCCATTGACACCAGTGCTAATGGGGTTATTATTGCATCCATCAACATCAATGTTGGGGTTTATTTTTTCGAAAGCCCACTAATACCAACATTGATTGTTATTTACTGCAATCCCTGACACCAATGCTACACGCACTGAAACCAGTGATGGTGGTTAAAATTATTGTGTCCACTGATGCCAATGATAGGGGATTATTTTTGTGTTCACTGACACCAACATTGGGTTATTATTGTACTCACTAACACACCAGTGATGGGGGGATAATATTGTGTCCACTGACACCAATGATGCTTAGAAATAAACTTCCAGCTGAGGTAGCAGGCAGTCAACAGTAAATAGCTTCAAACTTGCTTGGGACAAGCATAGATCTATACCCAGACAAAAAAGTTAACAAAAAAAAAAAGCCCAAATAAAAAAAACAAACAAAACAAAAAAAAACCAAACACAAAAAACAACCCCCCAACACACACACACACACACACACACACAAGAAAAGCACACACACAAAACAAAAATTGTGCACACTCGATCGATCACTCAGTTTTTTTCCACCTTCACTTTTCTATGTTTCTTTGCTGGGGTTTTTATTGCTTTCACTGATGCCAGTGCTGGAGGTTATTGTTACTGCCACGGTCACCAATTCTGGGATTATTGTACTCCAACTTCTTGAGTGTACATTGCAATATGATGCAGAGAATGCAGCAGGACCAAACTTGTGAGGCATTGATATGCATTACAGCCCAATAATTTTTTGAATGCAACGCACCTTCATGCATGAAAACGCAATGCTATTGTTCGGCCCTCTGGAAGTGTCAGGGTTGGGGGGGGGCAATGAGGTTCTCTATTATTTTTAAGTTGATTACCACTGCCTTAGAGGCTGTTCTCTTTCCTAGAGGCTGCAGAAACACAGCAGAGATGCACAAACGCATTATGACATTTCTTTAGGACAAAATGTTGTCTGAGAATAATCAGGCACAAATTTATAAGCATAGCTTTCATTTGGGATAGCAATTTTAGGATATTTTGTAAACAAAATGATCCCATATTGAACACTAATTTATAATACGATAGAAACTAAATGATTACATGGATGCATTCTACAAATGGGGGTATTCTCTTCCTTCTTTTGGGACAGTACTGAACTTCTGGTTTCTGTGACTAAAAGTCAAGCATCCATTTAACAAGTTATATTTGGGTTGAAATACTAAAGATAAATAGGCTGTTCATTGGAATTTTCACATAGCTTAGTGAAAATGCAATTTGCATAAAATAGCCAATCACATGCAAGGAAGTTTAAAAAAAGAGTATTTTTGCTTGCATATGATTGGATGATGTAAGTCAGAAGAGCTTCACCTTATTCACTAATCAATTGATCATTCCCTTTCAAAGTGAAAATTTCCTTGAACTGTGAACAGTCTGTTTGCCTTTAATAAATCAATCCCATATTGTCTGTTACAGACGGTACATTGGATTATATTCCTGTATCTACAATTTCACTTTATAATCTGCCAGTACTTCATGATAAGTAGTAATACATTTATGGATTTACATGAATATATTATTTTGCATCTTTTTTACATGGTGGCATGTAACGTTTGTATATCATATCTTTTATTGATAAATGTTTCACATAGTATGTTGATATTATAGGTAAGCATTATGACAGCATGTAAAACCTATTCTGTCCTTTTGTACCTTTTAACATGGGGATTTACAAAAAACTGTCATTTTACTTAGTGTCTAGAGATCATTACTGTTCATTCCAGTGGTAACATATTCTTCCATCATAACCTTTGCCTCTCTTTTGCTCCGGTTGTTTCATATTCATCCCGTAAAGGTAATCTGGGCAACCAGACTGGTAATTTTTTAATGTTATTTTATACACTCAAACCATGGGATCTTGAGCCATCTCTTTTATATTTTCTATAGAGATATGTTCATGTTCCCTCTGATGGTTGGGTTCCTGATTTTGGCCTGTTAAGTTTTTGTATGATTGTGTCATAATTTTTTTCTGTTGACTGAATTCTACTTACTGAACAGTGTCCATGAGTCACAGTTGTAGGTAAATGAAGGGACAAATGTATACATGTATACATCATAAAATGTATGAATGTAGCATTCAATTTTCAACAAAGCTGCTTATACTGTTTGTGTACTTTATAACCACATATTCGTATAGGGATAGCTGCAATACCTCATTGCTCACAACTCACTGTTCAGATATTCAGATAACCACGGGTGCTGAAGTTGTCTAAATACAACAGCAAGCAGGGTAGATTCATCCATCCACATTGTTTAGCATGGATTGAGGAATCTATTGATTTCTCTCTTCAGCCCTCTGGGCTGAATGAGAGAAAACATGTAAAAATGTGAAAGTCAAAAAATGAAATTACAACAACTCAGCTCACTAAAAATGTGGTATCATTTCCTTTTGAAATATATAAGATTTATTTAATTAACCACTAGCTTACAGGACACTTCTACCCCCTTCCTGCCCAGGCCAATTTCCAGCTTTCAGCGCTGTCACACTTTGAATGACAATTGCTCGGTCATGCAACACTGTACCCATATGAAATTTGTATCATTTTTTTGTGACAGATAGAGCTTTATTTTGGTGGTATTTAATCACCTCTGGGTTTTTTCTTTTTTCTTAAACAAACCAAAAACCACTGGAAATGTTGAAAAAAAAATGTTTTTTTTAGTTTTTGTTATAAAATTTTGTAAATAAGTGATTTTTCTCCTTCACTGATGTGCGCTAATGAGGCTGCAGTGATGGGCACTGATAGGCTGCACTGATGGACACTGATAGGTGGCACTGATGGGCACTGATGAGGAGGCACTGGTAGGTGGCACTGATGGGCATTGACAGGCATCACTGATGGGCATTGAAAGACAGCACTGATACATGTCACTGACATATGGCACTGATAGGCAGCACTGATAGGCAGCACTGACTGGCAATAATAGGCGGCACTGACTGGCACTGTTAGGCAGCACTGACTGGCACTGTTAGGCTGCACTGATGCGCACTGATAGGCAGCACTTACTGTCACTGATAGGTGGCACTGATTGGCAGCGCTGATAGGTGGCACTGATTGGCATTGATAGGTGGCACTGACTGGCACTGATGGGTGACACTGAAAGGCAGCTCAGATGGGCACTGATATGTGGCATTGATGTGCACTGGTAGCCACTGATATGTGGCACTGATGGGCACTGGCACGAGGCACTGATGAGCACTAACGTAAGGCACTGATGGACTTTGACAGGTGGCACTGCTGGGGCTACACTGATCATCAGGGCACACTGATCATCAGTCCCCTGATGATCAGTGTACATGTCCCCTCCGCGGAAAGCCGATTACCGGCTCTCCTCTCGAGCTGTCAGCGTGACAGCTCGAGAGGAGAGAAATGCCGATAACCGGCATTTCCCTGTTTACATGTGATCAGCTGTTATTGGACACAGCTGATCACATGACCGAGCCGACATCTTCGGCTATTTCCGTGATCGGTGATCCGCTGTGTCTGAAGGACATAGCGCACCGCCGATCTCCGCGCTGCACGCTCCGTGAGCCACGCATGCACAGTGAAAACAAGAGAACCACCTTGCGCCCGTCATATTACTATAAATGGCGGGCGGAAGGTGGTTAAACCTTTCAATATTTTTAACAAACATAAAAGACATGTCAAAGCACAAATCTGGTAGATTTGCTAAAGGCAAATAGGCTGTTTACTTTGCAAACATGCAAGGGAATTTTACCCAAAGTTAATGAATGTGGTGCAACTTCAGTTTGCAAAGAATCCCCAATCACATGCAAGGAAAATATTTAAAAAGTAGGATTTTTCTTTGCATATGATTGGATGTTGACGGTCAGCAACCTTGCCTCATTCACAAACCTCTGGGGAATATTCATTTGCAGAGTGCAACTTTGCTTGCAAAATGAACAGCCTATTTGTCTTTAGTAAAACAACCCTATAAAGCAGGGGTCTCCAAACTTTCTGAACAAAGGGCCAGTTTTCTGGTCTTCTGATTTTAGGGGGACTGGACTGTAACCAGTGGGAGTGAAAAATGCAGCAGAAATAATGCCCAATCATTGGCATCAGTAGAAGGAATAGCACCCTACTATTGGTATGAGTGAGAGGAATAGTACCCCAACATTGGTGTAGGTGGAAGGAATGGCTCCCCAATACTGGTATCAATGAAAGAAAATTTGCCCCAATACTGGTGTCAGTGGAAGGACTGGTGCCCCAACATTGGTGTCAGGAAAGGAATGTGCCCCAGCAGTGGTATCAGTGGCAGGATTAGTGCACCATTGATGGTATCAATGGAAGGAAAAGTGCCCCATCTTTAGTGTTAGCAGGAGTAATAGTACTCTATATTTTATATCAGTGGATGGAATTATGCCCCATTATTGATGTTAGCGGCAGGAACAGTACACCATTGATGATACCAGTGGGAGAAAAAGTGCATCATCTTTAGTGTTAGTGGAAGTAATAGTGTTCTTTAGTTTATATCAGTGGGAGCAATTATGTCCCAATGTTGGTGTTAGTAGAAGGAATTGTTAGTAGAAGGAATGGTGCCTCATATCAGTGAGAGGAATAGTGCCCCAAGGGCCAGATAAAGTCAATCAAAGGGCCGCACCCAGCCCCCGGCCACAGTTTGGAGATCACTGCTATAAAATAAACAAGCTCTCTAAGTATGCTGTGGTAAAAGTGCTGTATGATGTCGACCATCAACAGAAACAGAAAAATATTGAGTTGAGTGATGCCTTTTTATTAGCATAATGAGTAAATTTAAATTGCATGTTCAAAGGTCACTTCTTCAGGTATGGTGTAGTCTAGCTGTGACATTATGGAGTTTATTTTCTAAAAGCAAATAGGTTGTTCACTTTGCAAGTGAAGTTGTACTTTGCAAGGGAATTTGCTCCAGAGTTTAGTGAATTTGATGAAGGTTCACTTTGCAAAGAATAACCAATCATTTGCAAGTGTGGCAGGATGAGACCATGCCACTGTGTGATTAGATACTTTTGGCCAGATTTTGGAGGAAACAAGTTAATTAATGAGCCAGTTGTGTGCTTCCTTCATAGTGAAGCTGGGATCAGAGCTCAGGGCCTCACCCTCCTGAGGGGATCACTGACTGAAAGGTAGTGGTGAAAGAGGTGCATGCTGCACCGACCTGTCCAGATCAGGACAGTTTGAGGCATGAGCCTCTGAGTATGAGAGACAGTCAGAGGGGACAGAGCAGCTGGGATGCTGCAGAAAGGATACAGAGATTAGCGCACAAGCACTGGATGTGTTTTGATGGTTAGGAGGACCAACACTGCTAAGCTGTGCTGCAAAACTACATAAAGTGCCAGGAGGCTGAATACTGTTATGTTTGATTGATGGCGAGAAGTCCTGCATGGGAAATCTTTTTTGTGAACTTTTGCTTTGTTTTAAATAAAAGTGGGAAGAAAAAGCTCCGAAAAGTACCTCTGGAGTGGAGTGAACGCATAATAAACCCCCAAATTATCACACGAGAAAAAAAACATAATTTTGCAACCAATTGGATGATGGATGTCAGCAGTGCTTCATCTCATAAAATAAGCTCTGGGAAAAACTCTAAATCGACTGTGATGTCTTTATAACAGCACTTGTTGAAATTCTTCAGCTTTATTTTGGTGATGCAAATAAAACAATTTTACCGTGAATATTCATTTAGTGCCCACCTAATAGCAGAACTTTGTCCTTATGGGCTTTATTGGACAAAACACAGGATTGTAGGATACACAGTTGCTTTGGACAGTCAGGTATTACAAACTTCAACTTTGCAACAAGGAAAAAAAGGGTCCACCTGTGCTGTATTGCTTTAACCTTTTGGTCAAGATAGGATTTCTAGACACGTGTTGCCAGCTAATTTCTTTAATTGGTGACGTTTTCTGTAATTATGATATCTAGATATTTAAGGCCAAACAGCATACGTGCTTCAAATTAGTTTGTAAATAATAAGAAGTATTGGCTACTGTGTGAATATCCCACGTGTGGCTGGCAAATATCACATATACAATGCAATAGAATATATATAATAATAATAATATAATATATATAAGTCTGAAACAGGGTATAAACTTTAGTAAAGGGTCAAAAGTCCATGCACAATTTCAATAATCAGGAATGCTCTAGCCACAATAGCATCACTATTTAATGGAAAGGGTCAGGGAAGATAAGCCAAGTGTAGAAAGTTCCAGTTTCTTGGGGAAAACAATAGTAACCATGCAAGAATTTGTTACTTGCCATCAGTGTCCCCTGAGAGATGTTTTCTGGGTTGTGCATAACCCCATAAACATTAGATCTTCTCCCACACCACCATGACTAAGTTGCAATCTTTTAACAATGAAAACCAGCGCAAACCCACATATTCAATTGCATTACTCAACTTGAAAAATCATTTTTTTGCTAATAAAGATATATATATAATAAATTATATATAAATAAATTAATATAAAAATAAAAACATTAAATTAAATTCATAAGTCCAGTGACAAAAAAAATCAAGTGATAAAAAATCGAAAAAGTCCCAAAAAAATATATATATATTTAACAGTCCCGTGACAAAAATAAATCAATTTATAATTATCATTGGATTCTTCCGTGTTACTGATCCCTTCACCATCCACCAGTGCAGAAATCAACATTAACCGTACTCACCAGATATTAGTAAGTCACACGCCTTTCAGGAATATTAAGGGCTCCTGGACCCCCTTTACTTTTGTGAGACCTCCAAATGCTGCTTCCTCTTATATTTGGGTACCTCTTCTGCTTAATCCTCTCACCGAATCCCCCAAAGAAAATCAGGAAAAAGAAAAGACCATAGCGTGATACCGTAGTAATCTCTCCTCCAAATAATCTCTCCAGACCACTCACATTCTTTTGCGGGATATAGCCCGCCTTTTATTCAAAACAACAATGATTTTCTTCCAAAATGATCCACTTTTCAGGTACACCGACTTCTTATAAGAGACCCCACAGTCTAGTGTGCAGCAGGATGGCAGACCTCAGCTACAGACTCATCTAACTAGGCTAAGATGGCCCCTTGGAACGCACCGCTCGGCGTGCGCTCCACTCACCGGAAATGACGTCAGACGACGGACCAGGCAACCGGAAGTGCGTCAACGCGTTTCACCCCACCCACAGGGCGTTATCAAGACGCTCATTACCACTTCCAAGCCGCTTATAAAGCATTAGGGGATCCCTCCCACTAATTTAATCTGGACACAAAACCTGGACACAGGCATGTCCATCACCGCCATCCATCTGCACACCCATGTGGGGTCCTTTACAACAAAAACCATTACAATAAATACATTAATTAAAAGACATATTACCTAATTTTAATCCTAAGTCTTCACCCCAAACACAAGGGTAAAGACAGATAAGAATAAATATAAATGAAAATAAAAATAAAAATAAAATAAAGATAAAAATAAAATACAAAAAATAATAATAATAAAAATAGAAATAAAAACAAATATAAGTAAATAAAAATAAAAATAAAATAAAAATAAAAATAAAAATACAAAAATAAAAATAAATATAAATAAAAAAAAAAAATAAATAAAAATAAAAAAAAAAAAAATAAAAAAATAATAAAAAATATAAAAAAATAAAAATAAAAAAAAAAAAAAAAAAATAAAAAAAAAAATAAAAATAAAAATAAAATAAAAATAAAAATAAAATGTAAAAATAAAAATAAAAATAAAAAAAATAAAAATAAGATAAAAATGAAATAAAAAAACACCTAATCATGAACACGCACTACGGACTTATACTGGATATTACCAATTCGACAAAAAGCAATTTATATCAATATCTACATTCAACCCATTAGGATACAATGTACCCCATTTGATAAATCCACTTCGTTTCATTTTGGGACACATTTATTACCATATTACCTCCTCTCCAAGGGGCTTCTACTCTATCTATCCCACAAAATTTCAACGATGCCGGATCTCTGTTATGATACCTTCTAAAATGATATGATAAACTATGATGTTTGAATCCCTTCTTTATGTTCCTAATATGTTCTCCCAATCTGGTGGCAAGTTTCCTAGTTGTTCTCCCTATATACTGGAGTTTACAAGAGCACTCCAGCAGATAGGTAACATGCGTACTATCACATGATATAAATTTATTGATCTTATGGGATCCTCCATTATAACAGGATTGAAAATCCTTGTATTGCTTCTTTCTATCCCCTTTCAGGGTTCTACAAGCAAACACCTCCCACACTTGAAAAAACCAGCCCTATCCAAAAAAGTAACCAATTTCTTAGGTACATTAACACTTTCCCAAGGGTTTCATCCCTCATTAAAATTGACCAATATTTTTTAATAATGTTTTCAACTAATTTGTAATGCTTAGAATATCCTGTGATGAAAGCCACATCTCCCAACTTCTTTTTACTTTCTTTTTTCTTTAGAAGTTCATCTCTACTGATCTTTCTAACCTGTTCCAATGAAACCGCCAGA